TAAAAAGGCTAAATCTGGTATAATTCAATTATTTTCTTATAGTTTCTATGATTGCACGTTCTAAGCCATGAAAAAGCAGAGCACTTAGAAAGATCACAAAAATGGCATAACTAAAAAGTGCATACCTTTTTCGCCTAATGATCTAAGGCATGCAGCTCAGTAAGTCAAGGCATATGCTTTAACAAAGAGAAATCAAAGCGTAGTCTTTGTGCAACGCCCCAAAATTTCACAAACACTGGAGTGTTACCAAAAATTCAATTTCTTTGTGAAACGATAGAATAATATTCTTTAAATAAAAATAACTGGAATATTCAAAATGAAAACATAATCACAAATTATATAACAGTCTCTTAACAAATTAAACTAACTAATAATTTAAAAAAAAAAATAAACTTAATGTTTTATCTCTTCGATTACTCTTGGCAGTCGCATCACCATCCCGCCACTGTTCAAATAGACCCGAACTAACCCCTAAAATTTTGTAAGACTGAGTATTTAAAAATACTCGGTACGATACGTGTTGTTTCCATACACAATTATATGCAATAAAATAAACACTATATATCACTCCTCTTATGAAGTATATTGGTGACCAAGCATCACACTCATCTTAGGTCATCTTAAATTTCCGTAGGATCTCTTATCTCTTAATAAAGGACCCGAAGGTCCACTGGCAATTCATGCATAAAATATTAAATATAAAAGTATAAGGAAACAAACCACTTACACAAAAGTATCTTACCTTGATTGATCAAAAGAACTTTTGAAAAAAGAATATACTAGAAATTTACAACTGTTTTATATGAAAGCTGCCGTGTAAAATTCTTTGGTGGTGAATTGTAGGGCAATTGCACACTATTTATAATAAAAAATATAGTGGTTGAGTACAATTAGTATGTAAAAATTGTATGTATCAACTTGGATAAGAATTGAATTTTTAGTAAACAAATCACAATATGACATGTACATAATACTTATCACAACAAAAAGTGATTCTAATTCCGATACGTGATAGTGATGGCAACTTTCGACTTCAAATAATTCTAAGAAAATAAAAAATTATCTCACATTCATTCATTAGATACACGTGGCAATCTCTCATCCAAATTCAATTTGATTTAAAAAATAAATAAATTAATTAAACTTTCTTTGAACTTCAAGATTAACTTATCCGAATTAACTTT